GGGGGGGGAGAGGGACGGACGGACGGACGGACGGACGGATGGACGGACGGGACTGACCAGGAGCTGGTTGGGGACAAGGGAGTTCCAGAGCTGGTGGTGGCCCTTTGCTGCCCAGCAGCTGTAGAAGGAGGGAGTTAGGTTTACCTTCGCTCTTTTAAATTTGAATTCTTTTGACAAAAACCTTTTATTTCTCAATTAATGATAAAAGGCTCAAAACGAATTCATAATTAAGGCCACCCTGTAGTGCTAATTGTTTTGTATTGAAGTGTAATCCATTCACTCATGAAAACAGCTTGTTACTAGGTCATTTCCTTTTTTCTTTTCTTTTCTTTTTTTTTTTTAATGGGAGGTGGGTAAGAGAACTGCAGGCCCAGGACAGAAGGCAAATTTTAGGCATTATTATTGATTTTCTTTTTTTATTCTCAAACATTAGTAGTTATATTGAACGTGGCTTGGCAACCTCTGTGAGTAAGTAAACAGGTTATTATGTTAATTATCTGTTTAGTTCATTTTGGGGGGGAATGATAATGAACATGTATAATAAAAGGTTAATTGTCTTCTACCTGTTTCAAGTATATTATTTTGTTCTTTTAGCTCTTATCTTCATTGTCAATGGGCATCTGTAGCAGATCTGGAAAAAGATAAGAGAATTCAGCAAAAGATTAAACGATTTAAGGCAAAGCAGGGCCAGAATAAATTCCTCTCAGAGGTATGGACAACCTGGTTAATTTTCTAAAGTATTTACATTTTTAAAATGTTCTGAATTTTGAATTTTGGGTCAGTATATTATTAAGAAAAACTAGTTTGCCTCATTTGGTGCTGTTACTTGCATATCGGTAGCTGGTTATTGCTAAAATAATTTGTAAACAGGAAATTTCTCATTCTTCCTGTTGCTTAGTTCTAGAAGGTACTGGTCCTTATGATATTATGTGGAAATATGATGGTATGATTAAATCTTGTAATGAAAATACAGTCAGTAGACGGTGAAAAAAGTAAGTAGACAAAAGTCCTATTAAGATTTTAGCAGGGTAAGAACGCTACAGTGAGTATTTAAGTATAAGTTCTAGGATATAAAAGTTTCTTTCTGTTGGGGGAAGTGTGTGACAAATTACTTCTGTTCAAGTCAGTGTCTAATTGACAGAGTTTTCACTGAACTCCTTTTCACAGATCACGCGCTGTGGTACAGGAGTTGATATAATATTCTAATACCTTTGCCTGCGCGCCTTTATCCTAGGTTATCAATTATGGTGAGAAGGTACCCATACCTAGGGCAGGGAAGAAGTCCTGCGTATTTTACGAAGTGCCAGGTTCCCCTCCAGTGCAGTCAATTACATTGACAAAATGCCCTCACAGAGTGCTTCCTGGGGTCCCTGGGCTTGTGACCACCAATTTGCTTTCACTTTACAGCCTAAAGCAGTTAAAAGAGAAACCTTCACATTGAAAGACTAAATTGGCTGACTTTACTAGTTTTCCTCTCCATAAGGGAATTAAGAGAATGCAAACTGTAAAGAAGTGTGAAATTTGACGGAAAATAATACCTGCTGCACGACCAACTTCACACACGCCGACCCCCTGTTGGAGATGGGGGAACGGGGGACCAAAGAAAGTTGCGTAGTTTTATGTCATAGAGTCAATCCTTATACCCTCAGGTGACAGGTCTGGGTTCTCCTGGAATCTGATTTCCACGCCCCCAAAGACATACTGTAAAATCTGCACTGGATGGGAAATGAGGTGGAGGGGATTCCGCTAGGCAGATGTGTCCGTGTCACCTAGCACCAGCCTCCTCGCCTGCAGTGGTCAGCACCAAGGGGTGCAGGTGCTTGGGTGGGACTCACTCCCTCATGTCCTGGGGAGTATGTAGGTGATTCTTTCTTTGGAAGGACAGGTTCTGAGAAAATACTAGGAAGTTCTGTTTTTCATGCCCCTTAATGAAACTAAAGTTAAATGTTCGTGATATTGGGCAAGTTGAAATCCTTAGCTTCCTCCTAGAAAGAGACACTGTGCGTTCTACTGATGTTTTTGTGCATCCGTGTTAGGAAAAGGAAAGAGTACAGTGGTTACCCCCACCCTGCTCCTTAAATCATGGTTCTGCTCATTAAATTTATTTGTGCCTCTTGGAGTCAGATGCCCTTCAGGGACGTGGGCCCGGCCCGAGGTGTGTAGTCTATACCTTTTTGAGTCTATCTCTGGGAATCGCCTGTACCAAGGCTGAAATACATTATCTTGCTGGTAACTTGGCAACCAGAGATCTCAAGTTTTGTCCTGAATGGAAGTAGCATAAACCTGAGTCTGAAAAGGTGATCTGAAGGTTAACAGAGAAGGATACCAATTCTCTTCCCCTCTTTCTTTCTTACATACACACACGCACCCCCCGACCCCCACCCCCTGCTCACCACACACACTTTGTCATGTCCCGTAGATGGTCGTGGCTTCAGGTACCCCATGGTTCTGCTTCTTTGGGATTTTTAGTTATGACCACTTTTGCATTCTCTGTTTCACCTTAGGCTTCCTTTTAAGTCTCTACTCAAAAAGATGATCAAAACTGGAAATTATGTCACACGCATGGTGGCATAGATTGCTCGCTTGAAGGATAAACGTGTTTAGGAGTAAAGTTAAGGATTTTATTTCAGTAATGAAAGATTCTGTTTAAGAGCAAGTTGTCTTAGAGAGAGCTTTTATCAGAAGAGCCTAGTTTATGGAAAGTTCTAGTGTTTATGCTTTATATGAATAATACATAGATATTGTGTACCTAAGTCTAGAAGCTTTGACAAAGCCAATGCATTTAATATATTAACATTTTAAATTAACGGAACATTTCAAAGGTTTTTTTGCCTTAGTCATGAACTCTGTGTAAAGGCCTGAGGCAGTTGAAACACATTCTGGTATTTCTGGCTTTTGTTTTATAATTCACAGTTCAAAGCATCCAGACTGGGTGCTGTAAGTGGGCCCAGGGGCCCAGGGAATGTTTGTTATCCTCAAGCCAACTGTGACCAAACGGCCCTTCAACCTGCAACTCAGGGGATACGAAGAGTATCTACGTGGCTTGTAATATGTCTTTGCAAAGCATTTGAATGAAGTTATATTACTGATAAATTAATCTCTAGAAACACATAATAATGTGTCTTTTCTAACTTGTCTGACTCTGACTTCTTTAAAGTATGGCTTAGTCTGTAACTTCCTTTTGAGCCGCATTCTGTTCTTTTACATGAGATAACTTTGCAGGCACGCAGCCTTACTTTAGTTTTGTAAAGATTGTTAATATATTGGCTAAAGAACCCAATTTTTTAAGCCTCATTTCTTTATCCTTAAGAGTTTTAGCCAAATGCTCTATGTTCAGTACAAATAAATCATTAGAACACTTAGATGAACGCCAAGACTGTGTTCAAATGAGTTACTAATACTGATTGGCAAAGACGACCAACCATCATAAGCTCTGTTCACACTAAAATATGGAATTCACTGGTCTCAGCGTTTCTAGCTTTTGAATAACATTCTGCAAATGATGCTATGAGGCATCAGACAACTCCAATAGTTATGAGACTCCAACAGCACTTACTGTGCATGGCTCTGAGTCTTCATTGCAAGCTGTGGTTTCAAGAATGTTAAATGCATTGTGTGCCATAAGCCTTTTGGATTGCTCATTAGTGAATTATAATTTCACACTTCATTTAAAATATTCTTAAACATTTTCTCACAGTAAAAAGGTTTCCACACAGTAATTAAAAGACCCAGTTAACAAAGTCGGAGAAGTCTGATTTCCTCATGGGGAGTGATTTTGCTAAATTGTAGCATTTCAATGAATATAATAGAACTTGCCAAATACAAATTTTGTATTGCTGTGACCCAAAATGTTATTGCCTGATGAAAAGTGAAATAGTGTCTACTCTGAGGAGTTAAATAAACATTTTAACTTTTTTTCCTTTGATGTAGATTGAAGATGAGCTTTTTAATCCAGATTACGTGGAGGTTGACCGGATAATGGACTTTGCACGTAGCACAGATGACCGGGGAGAGGTAACAGAAGATCATTTGTATTAGAAGCCAGTGACTCAGAGAGCTTATGTGTGCTTATGGAGAATGACTGTGGACTCCCTAGATCTGGTTCTGGCCAGGGCCTTGGGTTATGACACACTTGCTCTAAACTTAATTGAAATTTATTGACTTACTATTAGTTCTAGGACTTAATATTATCACTGTAAATGTGTTGTTTTGTTTAGTCTGAGAGCTTTTTAGAAGAAATCAGTTTTCAGTGTGAAGCAAATAGATTTTTTGCACGGTTCCAGGTACGATCAATAAAGGATTCAATATATTTTGGTATAAATCTATTACGTAGCATGAATTTCCCGTATAAATTAAGAGTGCTCTTATAGCAGAATGCAGTGCAAAGATATTTAACATTGGACGTCCTTAGTGAAGCTGACGGACCTCATTTAACGTGGTGCACAGAAGATACTATAAAATCTTCCTCTTTACGAGATCCCAGTCTAGGCATGCCCAGGTTGCTTTGCAGAACCGTACGAGGCTGTTAAGGACAGTCGGTAGGGCATAAGAGTAAAGACAAGTCTAGTGACTTCTGAGCATTGTGTCTTAGTAAGTATATGCCCACCCGCCATGAGGTATGTCATTCCTAGCTTCTTCTTGTAAATTAAACTTTGTAAAGGTTTGTATCTTGCTTGTCCAGTGAGTCTGCAGTGGACTCGCATTTTACTCCAAACTCTGTATCACGAGGTCCACGATGTTTCAAAGATCGTGTCTGTGACATGATGTTTACCTTTCCAGTTTTGCTAAGTTGTACTTTAAAAAAAAATTTTTTTCCCCCATCGTATATTTACCTAGTACAGCAAATGTTTGTAGCATCACAACCAGGTCAGTGTACAGTGTACCTTGGTCCTGAGATGAAGATCAACAAACCAAAATATTTTCAAGCAGAAAGACAAAGGAAGTCCTATTGATCTGCGTTATCCAAACTGTTTTGCTCTGCAGTCTTTCTAGAGCTCAAACACAGTATTTTAAAGTGATAGCATGCAAATAGTATCTCTTTAAGAAGAAGGCGGAAATCCTAATAAATTGAAGTCTGTTTCTCATTCTTTAAGAAAGTAGCCAGTTAGGCAAATATGTGAACACACCAAGATGGGTTACCGCCTAAGTCTGAATCAGACGCCCGGTGATTTGCACGGTGCACGGATAAGATTAAGGCTCAAATTCGGCTTTGTTATTTGCTAGCTATGTCTGTGTACTTTTTTGGCTTTTGAACATGACTTACCAGTGGCTTAGATAAAAGTCAGTTTGTTCTGGTAATATTCAGTAATATTATTTCCAGTTTAGACTTGAGACTCTGTAACTAAGGACTCCTCGTTCAGTGGTCATAGTTCTAAAACTTCTCCCAGCTCCGTCTCACTGTGTCTGGGGTAGTGTCTGTCGGTAAGTGCAGTAGAGCATGAACCCAACTGTGCTGTGTTTAAACCCGGCCCAGCCTGTGACTCACTACCTGGTGAAGTGGTGCTCACTGCCTTATGAAGACAGCACGTGGGAGCTGAGGCAGGACATAGACCAAGCCAAGATCGAAGAGTTTGAGAAGCTGCTGTCCCGGGAGCCGGAAACAGAGCGCGTGGTAAGGAGGGCTCGCGGCGGTGGCTTTAATGTATGTGGTCTCTGAGAAACCACTAATGGGACTTTTACTATATTTGAAACAGGAGCGACCTCCTGCTGATGACTGGAAGAAATCGGAGAGTTCCAGGGAGTATAAAAACAATAACAAACTCAGGGAATACCAGTTGGAGGGAGTAAACTGGCTACTTTTCAATTGGTACAACATGTACGTAAAATGTGGGGTTTTTTTCACTTAAAAAAAAAAAGCCTATAGTAGCTCTTTTGTCGTTATCTAAAGTATTGATCAAATATAGCTTAACATTTTAACTCGCTAATAGAAATTATTTTTAATAAAAAGCAAACACTGGAAAGTATGCTTAATATTTGTTTACTTAACACATATTAATACAGAGATTGCTAGAAGTGTGTAGCAATAATTTTTATGTCTTAGAGCATTTTGTTTGAAACTGTATTTTGTTGTATCTAAGGGAACATCTAAGGCATGCATTTATGAGTTATGAAAGCACTGTCTTGTATGTATGCTTACTAAAGTTTCCTTGTTTTATTTCCCTCCCAAAGGCGAAACTGCATTTTAGCAGATGAAATGGGTTTGGGGAAAACTATCCAGTCCATTACATTTCTCTATGAGATATATTTGAAAGGAATCCATGGCCCTTTTTTAGTAATTGCCCCATTGTCCACAATCCCCAACTGGGAAAGGGAATTCCGGACCTGGACAGAGTTGAACGTGGTTGTGTATCATGGGAGTCAAGCTAGTCGTCGGACCATTCAGTTGTATGAAATGTACTTCAAAGATCCCCAGGTAAAGCATCACAGGCGGGCAGTCCTTAGGCTTATAGACACATTAAGGCGTTGGATGTTAAAATGGTCTCAGACCTTTGGCAGGGGAGGTCTAGATTTTGCAGACAGAGAATTTTGCTTTAGATTTCGTACCAATTTGCATTTGTCTTATAATTCCACATCTTTTGCTTGCAGCTCTTTATTTTTATAGCCTTGGTCATTCTAATTATTAGAATGAATGAAATTTCGTTTTACCTTGGAGGACTGCTAAAAATCATTTAATGTGTTAATATGCTAATTTGGTTTATTTTGCAAGCCCTGGAAGAAAGCAAAACAGAAAATGGAGTTTTTTAATGTGAATGGAAAGAATATTGTGTTATTTATTGTTGCTAGAAGTGAAAAATATTAGGTATGTAGTATTAACTGGTACATTGAATGAAATATACCCAAAGGGGAGAATTTATACTTTGGCTCTTAGTAGCAACTGCTATGATTTTTAACTAATTTTAGTTAATAATTGTCTACAATTTAGCTAATTGTCTGCAATTATCCTATGATATTGACAGCGAAGCATTATAAATGACAAAAGAAAGAAGAATAAATAGTATATGCGAAAATAGTTTTAAGCAATAGGTGGTAAATGGAAGTCCTATAGCTGGAAATAGGACAGAGTTTTGTTTTCTATGTTTGTTTACCTTGAGTGTAAAATCTGACCTACAGTTAAATACTTAAAGTAGAAAAAAACTAAAATCTATTTTGGTGTTGATCTTTAGATTTGGGAAATTGTTATAAGTTCTGTCCTGAGTTGAGCGTTCTTTTCGTGTTAGCACGTTAAAAGTAAAAAGCAAGTTACAAAAGTTTAGATAAATAAATAAAAAGTTTTGAAAAGTAAAAGTGGTTTTAAAATGTTGTCTTAGTACAAAATCTCTTTGGCCTTTCACCTTTTGGAGTCTGTAGGATGTAACTAGAATGGGCACACTTAGTGACTCTTTACTGCATGTGATCTGTAAGGAAATTGGGTTGGAAATTTTACTAACAATTTTCAGACTTCCTTGAAAAAGGTAAGGTTTTAAAACTCTGTTGTGCCATAAGAGCTTAAAACCTCCAAAACACCTTGAAAACAAAGTATAAGTGTTACCTAGAATAAAGATGTCCCCAAGGGGATCAGTACATATATTTTACTGCTATTTATTCATCCTTAAAGTTCTTAATGTAATCTTTAATGCTAAGTAATAATCCAGAGTTGTTCTTGTAGGGTCGAGTGATAAAGGGGTCCTATAAGTTTCATGCCATCATCACTACGTTTGAGATGATTCTGACCGATTGTCCTGAGCTGCGGAATATTCCCTGGCGCTGCGTGGTCATTGATGAAGCCCACAGGCTGAAGAATCGGAACTGCAAGCTGTTGGAGGGACTCAAGCTGATGGACTTGGTCAGTGGTCATGTTGGCGATTCCCTTGACCCCGGATAGAATTGTCACTGACTCAGTATTCCCGTTGCTCTGAATCTGACTCATAGCTTTGAAGGGTGTTTGCAAAACCAGTCAAACGCTGTGAGGTATGCTCCTGCGCTTTCAGTGACTTAAACGTTGCTGCTGTCTTCCTGATTCTCACACTGTTGGCTGGCGTCTTTGCACAGTTGTATCACGGCAGAGGATAGTCATGGTATTTTTCACTGAAATGAGTTTCCAGTATTTGCTTTTCCCTTTTGTTTGTAAATATTGCCATTTCATAAGCTGTTGGGCCAAATGTTAGCTCCGTGATGATCATCCAGTTATATTCCAGGGCTCGTAGATTTTGGCGTCCAGGGGCCAGGAGGACTTGCAGGTGCAAGTTCTCAGTAAGTTGAACGGATATCCGGAATCGGTTCAGTTCATGCAGACGCTTAGAAGTCTGGGGCATTGCAAGACCTTGAGTTTGATCTGGAATTTTAGACATGTCTATCCCATACTCTTCCAGCTTCCTAAGGGATAGTCAGGGCTGCCTGATTAGATTTTTCTAGATTTTTTTTTCAGTAGGAGTATCATAGGAAAACATATTGTAGGAGTGGTAGAATTTGACTGATTTTCCTGTCCACACTGCTGTATGATTTTCTAGCAGAAATTACTACATGACTCAGTCATCCTCGGGTTTCTTTTCACTCTGTAGTTTACAAGGTGGGTTTTGATCACTTCTTTTTATTTTTAATGTACATTTAAGAAGCAAAGATATTGTTATTTAGCATGTCTTGGATGTTTTGATGAGCTTTTCAAAAATACAGAAAGATTTTTAAAATCCCTTTAGTGGTGACTTCTATAGATTAATTTGATCTCTTGTTAATCGAGAGTTTGAGATGGGAAAGGAATATGCTGTATGTTCACGGCTTGTAAATTTCTTACTGAAGACTGGTACCACCGAAAAGAACACTTAAAAGCTTTCTGTTGCAGCTGGTTCTTTGAAGCAGCTTCTTTTATTCCTAAATTAAGGGGATTGGATTAGCCAGCTATTCTTTTAATTAACAACAAACAAAAATCTAGTTTTGTTTAAAGGAAAAGGTGTGACTGAACTATCTTATTTAGGATGGGATTTCCCATCCTTAAGACCTTTCTCAGAGCAGTTTTGTATTATTTGGTGTTCAGTCCACAGAACGAATTAGAACACTTGTAAATGGTGAACAGTCTTGAAGACATGAATAAGCATGTGGAAAAGAGAAACTCTGTGGCTGTATTTGGTCTCTCTAGGTGATATTTTAGTCTTACGTTGAAGTAAACCTATTAATGTTTAGGTGAACATTAATTCTCATGAAATATCTAACTACGTCTTCTGAGTAGGGACCCATCTTCACAGTGGTCCATATGAGACACAGTTATGGCACCATTTCCTGAAGGCTTAGATAGCCATCTGAGTTTATTTCAGTTGTTTTCTGTTATTAGTGTCTGTGCTCCCAGGTAGTAGATTCTTAACGGCAAAACAGCCCCTTCATGGGTGAGCGCAGTTCGTTTAACTGTCAAGGTCAAACAACCTAATTGTCGCTGGGAGATTCCAAAGGATTTTCTGTTGTTTATAGTAACACTTCATTGATGGATTAGAATTTGCTACCCAGATAATTTTTCTGTTACGTGTTGCAGTGTTCCCTAACCATTTTCACATAATGGCACATATAGAAAATGATATTTGTATATCATACTGGGGTACGCTGAGAAGGCTGGCCACTGCTGCAGGTGACCGGCCCTGGGGTCCTGACTGTCACAGCCGTGCCGGCTGCCCCAAGGACTTGGCATACCTGTAACTCATTCATGTCTCACCATGGGAAGCTCTGATTAACAAATGAACAAAATAATTCTTTTTCTGATGATCAAGAATCTTTACTTTCACAAGAGTTGTTTTCTAGATGGAACACATTATTATTGTTCAGAGTTAGAATATAATTATATTTGTCCAGTTCTGAACAGCTCATTGCCTGGTCTTTAAGTCCTTACTTAAAATATCCATCATGAGAACTTATACACTGGCCACTTTTTGTTCATCTTTTCTAGAATAAGTCACGGTGAAAATAGCAAATAATAACTATATCCAGCTATGGAGCAGGTCACAGGGAACTGCTGTTCCCTGCACTAGGCGCAGTTATGATGGAGGTGATTCGGGTTATCTTTTAAGTGCGTTCTGAGAAAGGGAGGACCAGTGAATGTTTTCAACTCTCCCATCGCAAAGGAAATTCTTGTGAAGATGCTGGGATGAGGGACATTTACGGTCCCCACTGTCCTCCACGGGAGCCCTGGAAGCAGGGCCATCTCCTTGTCCCTTCTTGACAAGGAGGGGACTCTCTGGAGGTGGCAGTAGTTCTTCGTGGATTCTGTTATCTCATCTTTCATTGTCAGGAGGCCTCACACAAATTAAAGACTGCTGAAATGAAATCAAATGGACGCCACTCCATCAGAGCTAAAAAGAATGGTAACGTGTTCAAGCCAGAAGCCTAGCTGCTGACATAGTTGAGCTTGGAGATGATAAGCTTGATAGCCCGTCTCTCACCTGACATTTTGTGGCACCTGTATGTTAATTGTATGTTACATAATAGTTACTTTCAAAGGGAAACCTGGTTTTGGCTTGCTACCCATGCAGCCTTACCAAAGGGTCATATGTGTAATCATTTAGTGAAACTGGTTTTAAACAGCCCTTGAGGGGAAGCAGCATAAAAAAGAAGTTCTTTTTTTCCCCCCCAAATAAGTTAATTTTGAAATTAATAACTTAAAAGGCTTTTTCTGGAGTACTGATATTTGGTTAGCGGCTCAGCATTTCACTTGGTCACAAAGGATATAAAAAAACCAGGAGACAATCTTTAGCACCAACACAGCTCTCCCACAGCAATAACTTTTTTCCTGAATCTATGGCAATATTTTAAACAATTCTTGGATGAAGTAATTTTGGACTTGAATATTTCAGGGCCGGTGGCCCAGGTTACTCACCAGTATGGTTATACGTTAGAAAATCCTCAATTGATTTGCAAGCTTCTTACTCTTTATGAATTGAATGAGTTGGAAGATGATGATGGTCTGTGTATCTTCCTGAATCAGAGACCTCTTATTCAAAAGGGAGCGAAGGCAGAATAAAAGCAAATTGAACTGTTTCACCTCGCTTTCAAAGTACTCCATTGACAGATAAGACACGGTAGGTACTGAGAAAAAGAGCATGCCCTTAGGTGTATCACCATCCAGGGTTTACCGAACACATACTCTCCGCTCGGCAACCGAGCCTTATCGGACTTCCAGTTGAGTCAGAATATTGCTTTTGAACCTCCTAGAAGGTGTAGCCACTTTTTAAAATAGCTTTAGTAACTGGACTGTGTACCAGATGGCCAAAGTAGAAAATAATAAGGCCCTTCAGATTAATAAATTCACCGTCGTTAAGACTGGTCACCATGTCGGATACATGAAAGTATGAGGACAAGGGTACAAATGCATAAGGAAAGCTGGAGAAAGAGCTCGTAAACAGGAAGAATTGCCTTAAAGAAATACGCACCTTGGTTCAAGGAGACAAAGTTAGAAGTAGCATCTATTTAAAAACAAAAAACAAGAAAGTGATTGTGGTATTTAAAACCAAGCTGACCTCTTTGCTAGTTTGAAATGTTTGCAGAAAAAAATAGTTCTTCATGTGCTGTTGCCTGTGGAAGACCTTCTTTTGTCTCTGAAGTGAGTCATGCAGGAAGTAGACGGGGAGGGGAAGAGCCCTGTCGGTGTGGAGAGCAGAGAGAAGCATGCGAGCTTTGTCTGAGCCTAGGGATTTGAGGAAAAACCTTAAACTTTGGTGGGGAGAGAAGCCTCAAGATGTAGGGGACCTGCGAAGCCACAGCACCAGAATGTTTCCTGGGACCTAAAAATCCCAGGAAAGAACAAAATGGCAAGACACGTTTACGGGGTCCGGGAGTCTCTCTGAAGCAGAGGCCACATTTCTCGCATCTCCGCCTTCGGATCTAACTCCTGTATTTTGTGCAGGGTGGGTGCTGAATTTCAGCGTTCAAGAGTGGAAGTCGGGAAATGCCTGTATCGAGAGAGGCTTTGGTGTTAAGAGATGCGCTTTGTTACGATTTGCTCAGTTGCTCTCCTCGCACCCCTGTAGGAGCACAAAGTGCTGCTGACAGGGACCCCGCTCCAGAACACCGTGGAAGAGCTCTTCAGCCTGCTTCACTTCTTGGAACCAGGTCGATTCCCTTCGGAAACCACCTTCATGCAAGAATTTGGTGATCTGAAAACCGAAGAACAGGTACTTACCAAGTCTCCTTTGTATTTCAATCACGTAATTGAAGATTAACCCTCGAAAGGGCAGAGCATTAAGATTTAACCATTTAAAAATGTACATTACATATCCATTCCCCCCTGCCCCCAACCAACCTCAGTAGACCGGTGAGCTTTACACCCCCTTTCCTTGGACATTCTGAGTCTCCGTTAAGGGGGTGTTCTGATTGGTTTGTTTGTCCCTTTGCCCTCCGGAAGGGCTGTCAAGATTCATAGAGAGGTTCCATACCTGTTCATGTACTTTTCAGCCGCTATGCTGTTGAGTTTGGTGGGGTTTTTTTTTTTTTTTGCGGTCCGCGGGCCTCTCACCGTTGTGGCCTCTCCCGTTGCGGAGCACAGGCTCCGGACGCGCAGGCTTAGCGGCCATGGCTCACAGGCCCAGCCGCTCCGCGGCATGTGGGATCTTCCCGGACCGGGGCACGAACCCTCATCCCCTGCATCGGCGGGCGGACTCTCAACCACTGCGCCACCAGGGAAGCCCGAGTTTGGTGGTTTTGCCATGTATGCTTTTGGGTGTAGTGTCAGAAGCTGCTGACATTTGTCGAGCCGATTCCCTCCTGGGGTTCTGAGGTTCTAGTCTTATTTCTTACTTGGTCACATTGCTTACTTTTCTTGAGTCTACATATGTTCATTTAGAAACATGGGTCCTAACTACCCTGCAGGATTTCTGTGAGAAATAAATATGGTATTGCATATGAAATGTGGTCGGTTATTTCATGCATCGTGAGAGTTATGTTGGTGTTGGTTATCAGGCTGTATTTGAGATAAACATGGAGATACGCTTGAAATCTTGGTCTTCATGTGCCCCCTCCCCTAACTTACTGTCTAAAACCTCTTAGCTTAGTTCAAAGTGGAGTCTGTTTTGTTTTGTTTTGCTTTTCTTAAAATAAGAGCTGTCAGGTGTGCAGTGTGCTATTGCCGGTCAACAGAAAAGAGAACAGAGAGGGACGTCCCTGCACGCTTATTGGTGCAGGGACCGGATAGCTCCTTGGCTTCCTCGCGCTTTCTATCAGCTCTTCCTTCCTCATCATCACAAAGGCTTAAGACAAACAGAAGGGAAAAGTAACAGAATAAGTGGGGTTCTTTTCTGCTGTGTTGTACCGTTCAAGCCTCCTGGCTGTTCAGGACTCCTGGGCAAGCAAAGTAGCCCATCGGAAATTGGCCACACAACCTTCATGCACTTCTGTTATGACATCTGTAATGTAAGATCAGTGCCATCATACCCTTCCTGGGCTTTGACAGATGAAAATGAATGGTAAATAAATAAGAGAATCGTGGGTTTTCATGTTAGTATATGTTTCACCATGCAAGCAAGTCACGATACCGGTATTTACTTGAGGTCCTTTTTTAGGTGCAAAAACTCCAGGCTATTCTAAAGCCAATGATGTTGAGACGTCTCAAAGAGGACGTGGAAAAGAACTTGGCCCCCAAGGAAGAAACGATCATCGAAGTCGAGCTAACAAACATTCAGAAGAAATATTACCGAGCCATCCTTGAGAAGAATTTTACGTTTCTTTCCAAAGGTGGTGGTCAAGCTAACGTACCCAACCTTTTAAACACTATGATGGAATTACGGAAGTGCTGCAATCATCCCTACCTTATTAACGGTAAGCTGCCCGCCTGGCACCTTGTTTCCGTAATTGTCAAAACCCCAGAAATCCTTTTCTCCCTCCAGACTGATGACTTTATGGTTCATAATCATCCCAGTGTGGGTTTCATCATCTTCCTATTCTTCACAAAGCCTCCTTCTCTGTAGCCGAGGGTGCAGGACTGTTGTCCCCACCGATCCCTGAGGCAGGACCTCCGCTCACCTTTCCTGTGTCTGCATCTCACCCCTTGAAGGGAGGTGTTGCTGCTTGGTGGCTAGAAGTCATCAAACATGGTCAACAGTTAAAGAGAAATTAGCCCCTGATTGAGGTTTCCTTGCTCTGTATGTGTGTGTGTTTAGGTCAGAGAAGTTAAAGAGCACCTTTGGGGTGAGAGGCAGCTGTCAGCTGACTCAAGACTTTGATGGGAGAAAAGTTCTTGCAGTCTTGAGGCCTCTAGCATCCATTCTCTGAGTGAAAAGTTATCTCGAGTGTTGATAATAGTTGGTTCCTGGTGCTGACGGATGCTTCATGGTCTTCCTGTTTTCTTAACTAAATTGATACTGTTATGAACTGATATGAGGAAAAACCTGTATCGTACCCTTCCAGAGATCATCAGAGGAATAAAGCTTTCATGCCTATGATGTGTAAGATACTCTGGGGAATACAAGAACCTTCCGTTTGTGAGGGATTCAGATTAGGAAAGCTGTCAGAAAGCGATGGCGCTGAGACAAGGATTTTGCCAGTCAGGGTTAGAAAAAGAAAGGGCGTTTAGGCTGACGTAGTCACATGACGAAAGAGAAGGAGGCAAGAGAACAAAGGGGGAACCTGCCCAAAGTATAAAGGACGCGTAAGAAACAGTGGGACAGTGAACCTTAGACACAGTGGGACCTTGTGGGAAGCCCAGATGCTAGCTCGTGGAATTTTGGTGAAGCTTGGAAATGATTAGAGATGTGATTCAGGATGATTGATCTGGCAACATCGTATAAAATGGACGGGAGTAGGGAAAGCGTACAAGCAGAAAGCCCCGCTAGGAGGCGACTGCCGTAGTCCAGGCCGGAGTTAATATGGGTTAAAGAAAAGTGATGGCCAGCTAAATCAGGGTGCTTGTGTGCAATTCTAATTGGCCAGCAATTCAGTTAGGTTCCTTTCCAGGGGAGAGGGAACAAAGCCAGGTTTGTCATTATCACACTCCATGAGGTTCAAGCGCAGCTAAATTAAAGAGTTGCTCATCTCTCCCCGTTGCGTAACTACACACGTACCGACCACCTCACATCCAGAAGTTGCAGTTACTAAACGACAGAGTAGTCCCCACCTGGAACTGTCTCGACATAGCACACGAGGTCGTGGCTGTGGTGTGACATCAGTGGATGTCTTGCTCAAACTTTGCGCTTGTAGCTTGGTCTTTAAAGAGAGTATCATGTGTGATCATTGCCTGTTTAAATGCTGCCAGCCTGCTAATGGCCATGTGTTTAAGAGCCTGTGAGGCCACTGTGGCGAGTGTCACCAGCCTGGTCCTGAGCTGGGGAGATGGAGTTGGGGCTGAAGGTGGTTGATGGTATGAGTAAAACTCTGGTGCATGGACACACACACGTGAGAGACATACACACACACACACACACACACACACACACACTTTTTTCATTTAATGTCTGTTTAAAAAAAAAAAAAAAAAAAAAAGAGGCACGGTAACTTCCAAGGGGAAAGAAAAGGCACTAACAAAAGCTGAAATGCTGCAGCAGGTCGTGTGGGAAAGGAATGTCTCCGCAGTGGTTGGTAGAAATCTGCCCTAGTCCCATCAGTTTACCTTGTCGGTTTACATGCTAATCACGTGCCTTGAGCATTGTGAAGCGGGCAGCCTACCCCAAACCACCGCCCGGAGGTCTCCTCCCTGGCTGACGGCTCTCCAGACTCATCCTGTGTCATTCGCTGTTGGCAGAGGTTCTCAGGACTTCCCAGGTGTGGATCTGTGGCTGTTGTTCCGATTGGTCACACCTCGAGGTCAGCTTTTCTGTCCTGACAACAAGTTACAAGGTGTCTGTTAAGCAGGCATCCTTACACGCCTTCACGTTGGGAAATCATAGTAAAAAAAAAAAAAAATACACACGTGGACGCACCGGGTGTTACAGCTGCCCAGATGACCTATGTAAAGGTTGTGTTTCAGAGGTTGACCCAGGGCCAGGACTCTCTGTTCTCATCCACAACCTGGAGAAGGAAGGACAGAAGTACTGACCCAGTGCCAGCTCCATGCTCATTTATCGAGCAGTTACAGGAGGCTTTCAGTTTTGAAAATTAAACTGACGTTTGGGTTGGTTGTGAAAGAGCAAAGCAGCCCCAGTCAAATGAAAGTTCAGTTCAACAGAGCACAACGTATCTGTGATCGTGGACAAGAGAAGCAACTATTTGTGTAGGTTGAGAGCGATAACATCAGCAAAGCGGAAAAAAAATTAGAAGTGATTGTAGAACACAAACTGTACATAATTGAGAAATGTTTCTAATATGTACTGAGACTTAAGAGCATCGAACAGTGTTAGGCGACCATAATAAACGCTTGGTAAGTGTTGCTAAAAGTTGAGCAGGTAACTGTGTGTTACCGTATGTGAGAGTGAAAATCATGTTGAAGACTTGGTAGGGGCCCCGATGGTTCAGGGCGACTTTCGCATCCTCTGTTGGTGGTGAGGGGAGGGCGGTGGAGAACCGTGGGCAGAAAGAAGACAAGACTGAGCTCACGTGATGGAATGAATTTCAGAGAGAAAATGGTAATCTGCAAAAGAAAAAAGTTTCTTGGGCTTCCCTGGTGGCGCAGTGGTTAAGAATCCGCCTGCCAATGCAGGGGACACGGGTTCGAGCCCTGGTTCGGGAAGATCCCACGTGCCGCGGAGCAACTAAGCCCGTGCGCCACAACTACTGAGCCCGCGAGCCACAACTACTGAAGCCCGCGCGCCTAGAGCCCGTGCTCCGCAACAAGAGAAGCCACTGCAATGAGAAGCCCGCGCACCGCTACGAGAGTAGCCCCTGCTCGCTGCTGCTAGAGAAAGCCAGCACGCAGCAATGAAAACCCATAAATACATAAATTAAATAAATAAGTAAAATTTAAAAAGAAAATAATTTCTTGTTTGTTTGCAGCTAATATAGCCAGGTGACATTGCAGCTCCTGCCCTCACAGTGACCATCTGTTTAAGGGAACAGACTTCCACACTTCACGTTATCTCTGACACACACACACACACACACACACACACACACACACACTTTTAAATGTGAACTCAGGACTTTAGGGCAGTGCCAACGGTATATTTGGGCTTATCATGACCTATTTCCAGTTAATTTTCTGATAGATATTTACAAATCCAGCATCAAGGTAAATCTTTAACTGGTAAACTTGAAAATTCGGCCTTGTAATGACTTAGAAGGTAGGTGTTGCTTTCCTCCCCAACTCCTTCCCTGCTCTCTTGTCTTCAGCTCTTCTGGGGAATAATATAGTGCTACAGGAACCATGTAGGAAATATGTTTGCTGGTATTTTTAAATGAAGTGTTATTAGTGTCAACTGGCTGCCACTTTAAGAACCTAAACTCACAGCAAAGAGCTGAATTGATTAATTCAG